ATGGATAACGTTAGCGAAATAAAAGTATAAATGTAAAATATAAAATAATCACACTGTCAACGAAGTGACAGGTTATATACTAGTAATAATAATAATAATAATATAGAAGAACGACCCCCACTTTTCGATAATCTTTAACTATATATAGTGATTTTTTGGCAATCTTTAACTATAAACAGTAAGATAAGCGTCCAAATAGAGGTCAAAATCGCCCATAAAAAGTTAAGCAGTCCTAAAAAAGAAATTAAGCGTTGCACACGGAGCGTTTCATTCTTATATTAATGTTAAATATTAATGTTAAATAGATCTGCAAATCTGTTATAATTTCTATTTTTGTTCCATTCTAATACTATACCGAGCTGATTTGCGATCGGACTGTCAAATAGATTACGGTAGTGACGTGTACATCCTGATTTGAACAAATATAACGAGTCTACACAGAACTTTCGTCAATCGCTTTTATTTTGTGTCTGATTTCGATTTTAAAAATAAGGATAAATATGTACATGGCGTGAACGCATGTAGAGGCATGCAGACATGAACGCTAATTGAGCATCTTGTTTGGCGAGAAGTAGCCCTTCGGTATGCTAGTTCGTAGTAACCCTTCAAATTTTGCGTGCTATTTTTTGACGGGATAATCAAAGCGTCGAACGAGAAGAAAAAAGAAAGAGGAGCAGTATGAAAAGCGTGTGAATAATGGTGTAATTTAGTTAATGGACATTCTCTAAATTGGACTTAACTTCTCGCATAATATTGTAAACTAGCGTTTTTAGATATAAGAGCGGGCAATACGTTGCATGGGGATGATTTGATCAGGTAATCGTCGAGTATTTTAGAACTTTATTGCCTAACTAAAGCTAGTTTTAACATACATGCAAAGCAAGCAGAGGTACAATAAAAAGCTTGGCTAGAAAGCCCGGAATAAGATGAGGAATATAATACTAATACTAATGTTTTGAAATGTTAATTCTAATGTTAAGTTATAATGTTAGTGTTTGTTATATAGTAATAGTAATATTATGAGGTAAATTATTATTACGGAGTGTTCAAAAAATGATAATGTTGGTAGATGGATCAGGTGAACTGACAACTACCCCAGGATCACCATCAAAAAATTTACGGACACATGACTGCAGTGGGTGAAATTATGGAAGCAAAATTTAATTTTTACTAGTTTATGTTAAACTCAAATCTTACATGTATAAATAATCACGTGTCCGTAAATTTTTGATGGGAAAAATAGTACTGACGAAATGATCATTATTCTTGTATTTTATTGGATTTTAATAGTCGCGATAGTTAGAAATTAGTTCTCAAAAGATATATAAACGGTCGCTATCCGACCTGATGTACTCATGCTTTGATATCTGACTCAACCGAATAGGCTCTGAGCAATAGATACTCTGAAAGAGAGTTAATGATGTTGCGTTAATATTATTTGTTTCAAAACGGGGACTAGTCTTTCCGTCGACTTAACGCGTAAGTAATTTTACTATGCGTTCCTACGTTGCGAACTCTTAATAACTTTCTTAACCAACATGATAAGGCTATGGTTCCCGGTGTGGTTAATGTGAATAAGAAGATTAATTGTATAATTATAACGGTTGGATAAACAAACCTTTTACGATAAATTTTTATAATTTGTCTTATACATTTCTCAATAAAAATTTACAGCACACATAAAAATTACAAAACTTAAAAGTTAACATTGCGAACAAGTTACTTATTACACGATGACTGAGTGTGCTAGTAAAAATTTACTTTTATATGAACAATTTTAATGTTTGATCTGCTAAATTTCATGGTAATCACTCCTTTCTGGCAGAGTACTGTATTACAGTATGTAACAAAAAAAAAACCGGCGGTTTAAAACTGTACTTTTCAACAACCAGGAAAAATAAACAACTAAAGCTTTTTATTAAGAAGATCTCTATTACGGATAAATATTTAATAGAAAATTCTATCACCGTTATTCTCCAAGACAAGTTTACGACTAAATTTTGTACTACTGCATCCCATTCTTCAATCAGAAAAAATGGTTTAATTCGTCAGTATCTTTAGGCATCCGTTTTTCAACCTTACTCTTGATGATTTGCCAAGGTTTGGACGGTAATCCATTGCCGTAATCCTATTTTGGACAATAAAATTTTTTGCAACTCTGGACGTTTATTGCTCTGTTGCAAGCCAATTCCTACCATACATGTTCTGTGCAGTTGGGTCCGGCACAATATTTACGTAGAAAGGGCCGTCCATTGTCTCTGTGAAGCAAAATAGAGGTCTGTTTCCTCTCTTTGAGATGCCATAACTTTTTGCGTAATTTTGGATGAGTTTTTGTTTTTAATCACTTTTGCGCCACCGACGAATTTTGTTTCGAAAAAGGTTGAATGCCGTCTTGTCAGTGAAAATCGTTTTGTCCCATCTATTACGCAAATGCTTCTCTGCCCATTCTACCCGTTTTGCAATGACTATTCGTAAACATGAGGTACGGAACTTTATAAATCTTTTTTTTTTTTCGTATGCAGCCAAATTGCCATACGTGAAATTGGAGTATCTTGGGGTTTTTCTATTGCTACAGCAAGTTGCCGCGTAGTTATTGCGTTATTACGGCGCACACGCTGTCCGATTATTCTAGATACGGTTCGTATGCAAATTTGGTATCGAGCTGTCGATCCAGACGGCTAGATGGTATTGCCATTTTTGATATGCCCTATTTGCCGAAATCTGTCGATCAATAGTAAAATCTATTCTTCGAAAATCGCCCTCGGCTGTATCTACTAACCAAATAACATTATTTTTTGTATCATTCTGAAGCTAGTTGACTGTACTTTTCAGAAAACATATTCTCGAGTTTAAACAACTAATCGTAATTACGTAACGCTTCGGTGAAGTAGTGGTATGTAAGTTACCACATAGATGATCATACCAAATTTATATTTGCAATTCCCAAATTCGATTGGCTCGATGAGTACACTTAATTTCGGAACATCTATTTATTCAAATTAATGATCTAAATTATTAAAGGTCTCATTCCAAAAAATTCAAAGATAGATACGTTTCAAAATATTGTACGGGAATTCATTATTAGTAACTGATTATTGCTAGCCAAGTATTACATATACTTCGGATGCAGTTGTTTTCCCCATAATCGCTTAAGATGTTTCTCCAGTTGTTTTCTCAACTTTTCTCCCACTTATTTACTATTAATTTTTTCTACGAAACATCAAAGATATTATTAACTGTTATAACAGTCTATACTTCATATTATTATTACAAATATTTTACACGTGAGAATCCACTTCCGGGTCCATTCCCACTTCCACTCATTGGTAATATTCATCAAATTGTTAAAAATTTTTCTTATAATATTAGAGATATTCACGTTGAATATGGTGATATATGCGATATTTATTTTGGATCCCGGCGTTTCATTTTGGTGAGCGATAAAAACATTGCTCAAAAGATTCTCAAACCAACCATCGACGGCCCATTTCATAATAGATTTAAGGTTAACATTAAAGATTTTAAAGAACTCGGTGTAATAGATCATGGCGTATTGGCTAACGAAAGCTATAGCGACTGGAACTATCATCGCAAGTTTCTGAACAAAGCTTTAATGGCCCCCCCATTTATTAAACAAGCTGTGAAAGTTGTTCAAGACAACTTTTTGGAAATGTCAAGCTATTGGGATAAGCTTGGAGAAGACAGAATATTAGAATTTAATCATTGGATGAAGCGATACTTCATGGATACCGTTTTTATTACTGCCGTCAGTAAACCCGCCCGTTCATTATTATGTTATTATAATGAAATAAACCCGGATAACGAATTAAATGTACCCGAATTCGTTCTTAAGGAGGCTGATACATTCTTACAATCGATAGATGCTCTTGTTCAAAGCTTAATTTATTTCATATCGATTCCAAGAATTATTCGGAACTTTCCAGGAATTCATAAATACACTCAATACATAAAGGACAAAATTAATTGGTTAAAAAATGACATCAACGATATTATTAAATCAAGAAGGGAAGAGATTTTTAAAATGCCAGTTAATCAAAAATTAATACCCGATATATTGGTAATGTTTTTGACGGCGAACACGGAAAGAGATGTTACTGAACAAATCGTAGACGACCTTCATGATAAACCAATGTCGGATAAAGACGTTGAGTCAAATTTATTAGCAGTTTTGTCTGGTGGCATCAGCTCGGTAAATTACAATTATATTTATCTTTTTTTTCCGTGTCAGTTAAATGAGAAATAATATTTATTTTTACGCCTTTATGTGCAGAGTGCGAATACCATGTGCTTTATAGTCTATTATTTAGAGAATTATCCCGAGGTCAAACAAAAAATGATGGAAGAAATCGAACATGTTATTGGCAAAGATCCAGATTCTTCATTTACATTTGAAAGTTTATCAAAACTCGAATACCTTGAAGCTATCATCAAAGAAGGTAGGTAAACATTATCATATTACAATAGTATTAAAACATAAAATTTATTTTATATTTATTTTGTAATTTCAGAATCAAGACTCAAAGCGAGTTGTCCAAATATTGCGAGAGTTAATTCGGTTCCAGAATACGTGGGAGGCTATAGATGGTCCAAAGGGACTAATTTTCTCATAAACGTTGACGGAATTCACTATAATGCATCATACTGGAAAAATCCTCATACGTTTGATCCAAATAGATTTCTGAAAGATCCGGAAAATGAACGTAATAATTACATGTTTGGCGGCGGAATGAGAAAATGTAAGCAATTTTTTTTTATTTTAATAATGAGCACGATAAAGAATTAAAAAAATATGTATATAATTTACTTTTATTTTGTTTACTGGCAGGTCCGGGTAGAAACTTAGCAATGGTAGAGCTTAAAGTTACTTTAGTAATGTTATATCGAAAATATGACATTGAGCTGATGAGTCCATTAAAGGAACATATCAAGACAGTTAGGCGCTGTAGCGAATTAAAAATTAGATTAAAAAGAAAAGTACAAAATTAACACTATTTAATCTGATTATGTTGTGCGAATATATTGTTTATAAATAAAAATCTTAGTCAATTATCCATAGTACCATAATACAAGCAGCTTTATAGGTCCACCTTAGTTGCACCTAATAAAGGACATAAAACCATAGTATCGTAGTACATCCGCTGTAATTATATCTTAAATGTGGTCTCATGATATTCTTGGCTTAAAGCAGCAAGGAAAATTATGATGTTCAAGAAAATCTGCTTTGTAAATTAAATACAGTTTTTCAAAAAGCAGCAAGAAAACAACAAAGAAAAAATTTTATAGTTTTTAATATACGAATGAGAAGAAAAGGTTCCAATAAAACCAGCATAATGTGTTTGTTTCGCATCATAATTAGGCTTGCCTGGTTTACAATATTACAGTTAAACCTCCATAATTGCCCCCTCTGGGGACTGACCATATATAGAGGCATTTAAAGAAATACATTAAAATTAGATTTATATTCTGCAATATAATTTTATTTATTTTTTAATTATGTATTTTATATGCTACTAATAAAAATACATATTATTAAATATCTTATCGTCTTCAACTTTATCATCAGCATTCGACGAGACGTTACTATTTAATTGTTCAATATTGACGTGATGTAATCAGTCGACGTCACAGTCTCGATCAAAAACGGAGGCTGTCATGTTGATTGAAGAATTCTGGCAATACAACCGGAGGCATTCATCTCCTTTGTAGAGCTGCTTTGTTTAATTCCTTTATAAGATAGTTGTTTTTGATTTCAGGAATTTCATTTTAATTTGGACGTCCATTGTTCCGATTTGACGAATTCAATTAGTTGATTTTCAGCCATTTGATCACATGTTTACTTTGTGCCCCAAATAATCTTCAGAACTTGTTATTCCCTTGTTCATTTGACACTTTATCAACATAATGGTGAATTTGAGTGAAATAATAGAAACCACGCCATGGGTCTCAATTCTTCAACAGAGCCAGAAGAAGAATTACCGAAGCATTGGTAAGAATGCGAGGTTGTTTTGGACTAGTCGCTAAAGCCTGGGGAACAAATACCGCAGTAACTGTGGTCATGACGAATGTGATAAACGATTTATGTCTACTTTACGGACGCGTGCATGTTCGATGTTGTCAGATTACAGTTACTGTCTTTACACTTTGTTGTACGCAATTTCGTTTCGTCTTCATCTCCTCGCCTAAAAATTAATTCACATTCTACATAATCGGGACTCCAATAATTAGTTTATGTCCAAATGACAAATCTCCGCCGAAATGGTCAGCCATCATCTCACAACATTCGATTCCATGAATTTTTGAAAGAGGATCCGCGATATCTGATCTTCCTTATGGCATTCAACGACAGTCATTTACATGGCGACATCAAGTCAAATCCACGGGCCGAGCTTTGTTGGTACGTTCATGACAGCGAGCGATATGGATTAGCAACCGAAGCTGTCAGTCGATCGGTTCTTGCAAATATGCTCATCTGACTAGTAGAATAGTATAAAGCAATGCGTTGGAAGCATCACGCTCGATCATTAACTGATGATTCACTGAAACTTCAAACAGGCAGATGCCAACGACAAGAGAAATCTTCAACATAACTGGCCGTTTCTACATAATTGCATCTCCCTTAAAGATAACTCGCTTCCCTGCTCCAAAAGTCGATGATTCCTCGACTGTTCCTGCACTACAATATTGGGAGTCACAGCGATGTGCTGTATGGACTTCTCTCTCGTCTCAGACAAGAGCATTGTTTTCATGGCCGCCTTCCGGTGAAGCACTACAACCTGGTCAAGAAAGAGCAATGAAAGTGGATGCCATGTTAGGAAATAGTGCAAAAGCAGACACAAAGGAACAGGTTGTGCATAACGTGGCACTCGACAATTTTTGCCTACTGGCTTTTAAGGTTGGAGGAATGACGAGGCTCGAGTACAGTCAGTTTCCGCCTAAAAGGACGGTACGTTTGTTTGTTTTTTTCTTTGGTGAATGGGGAGGAGGTTCATTTGTACGATGTATGTGTTGATTGATTGTCTTTTAAAATCGATTTCTTGGATTACAGGTTTTCACACTAGATGAGAAGACGCAAGAGTGGCATGTCGCAGAAACAAATCCATGAACTTTCATATTGTAATGCTTTTGACATTTGATGAGACGGCTGTTCGATGTCTAGAGTAACAGCTCTCAGTTGGCCTTGGAGCCAGCAACTTTGTAGCTAATGTCATATAAAGAACTTCTCTCTTCTGTTTATTTGGTCGTAATTTACACGCCCGATATTGAAGGGTAAATTTACTTTTTAACACAACCTGGCGAAAGAAGTTTGTAAGGTCGAGTCATTGTAGTACACCTAATCCACATATTAATCATCCTGTTAAATAAAGTATGGTTCCTTTGCAATTTGGAACGTTTCGCTCGTTCCTGAAATAACTTCAACGACGTCGCGATTATTTGTAATTTAGGTTTTGAAGTTCCACAGAGAATTCTGAAATACCCGTGTGGGAAATCTCCCGCTTGAATCTAATCTAAATGGAAAATCTTAGATTATCATTAAAAAAAAATTTTTTTTTCCCGGTATCTAAAAAATCTACAAAATTTTAAAGGTAGCGATACAGAGAGGCAGTCACTCGCGTAATGTTTCGCGTTTACAACAGTCTTGCTGGCACTGCTCACCGGCTCTCTTTTAAGGCTGCGTCAACTTCAGCAAGCTTGCGACCATCAATATTATGCTACGTCAGGTACAAATCAACACGCTCTTCTACTTCCGCGATAGAATATAAGTCATCACACATCCGGCGACAATTCCCACCTCTCCCTACACCAACACCTACTGCAGAAGAAGCGGTTACAAATATCTTATATAACACTCCTGCTCCTTCTGCAGAGCCTGAGAAGCGTCACGTGTTGAACTGTCTTGTACAGAATGAACCGGGTGTATTGAGTAGAGTCAGTGGCATTCTGGCTGCTCGAGGGTTTAATATAGATTCTCTCGTTGTTGCACGTACAGAGGTTACTGACTTGAGTAGAATGACGATTGTCTTAAGAGGACAGGACAATTATATCGAGCAGGCCAGGAGGCAATTATTGGACCTGGTGAATAATAGTTAGATCGATTCTTAATTCTTGACACGCGATCTTTCATTTTCTGATGATTATTAAACATAATTTCTAATTTAGGTTCCGGTGTGGGCGGTTCTTGATTATACTCAAACTATAATCGTCGAACGTGAGATGCTGCTTGTAAAAGTGTCTATATTGGGTCCTGAACACATACATGACCGTCCGTCGGCAGGTAGTGATGAAGAAGAATTCATGCCAGAGGCAGATCTGGCTGAGGAGGTAACTGAATAATGGGACAATATGTCGTGGTTGTATGCTCATTGACGTAATCTTAACAAGTTTTGTAATAGAGTCCCGACGCAACATCAGTACTCGATAACCCTATAATTATAGATGACCTAACACCATCAGCTGGTTTACGACAAAAACACGCACACCTTCAGTCACTTAGCAATCTTGCGAAATTATTTGGTGCCAAGCTCGTGGATATCTCTAGTGACCGTGTGATTATTGAACTATCGGCCAAACCGAGACGAATAGATGCTTTTCTCGAGCTGATCAGGCCGTTCGGCATTTTAGAAACTGCAAGAAGCGGTGAGTGAATCTGCCAAGTGTTTACATTTGCTCAGCTCAATTGTCTTACTGGTCTTTCGTAGGGATGATGGCGTTGCCGAGAACACCAATTCATCATCGCAAGATTGAAGAAGAAGATGATGATGCAGAGGATAGCGGGGTGGATGCCACAATGCTTCCACCTGGCTAACATGGCACTCTCTCGGTTTGATACGATGAAGATTTAGTGAAATGCTTATAAAAAGAAAAGAGCATTCAAAGAGCATCATGCTTGTATTTATTCATTCGGGACACCGTCGAACTTTTGGAGATAATTAAAGCGTGGAACAAGGTTCTGCATATTTGTGTAAATAGAAGTGCATGCGAGACTAGCGTAACTGTCTGCGTTGGGGATTTTTATTACGTGCCATGTACTCGCGTCGATTATTGTCCTGACTTTAAACAAGTTTACAAGTTTTCTCCATTCGCGACAAAAAGCTTTAAACGTGACAGTGTGAAAGAGGATTGTTCTATAGATCACAGATGCTTTTTAGCTATCAAGGCAATAATCCCTCTTTTAGGATTACACGCGACATAAACTATTTGATCTCCAGCATTTTTAATTGTATCCCATAAAACTTCAAAACAAGCAGACCTCATCAATTTGGTTTTGTATTCTTCTGAGAGAGCAGATCATGCTACCAGAGTAGCGTCAATTTAAAGAGAAGGGGAAAGCGAATTGGTTATTTAAAACGGATGAATGTCTTTAGTAGAAGTCGGTTCGCTGAACTGACTACTCTACGATTATTACTAATATCACCCAATTAATACTTAACTAATATTAGTATTCTGCTCCAAGTTGATATGCTTTGACTTTAGGCACGCTATTGGCTGATCGAACGTGGCTTGCTGCGGATCTGATAAGCATGCAAAGCTTAATAGAGAGAGAAAGTAGTCATCGGGCTTGACATAATTGCTAAACGAGCTTCTTTAACAAACAGTGAAACATCACAAAGAACCAATTGAGGCGTAGACACATTTAAATATAACAAATACTAGAGCAACTTTCGAATGTTTTATTACATGTTAATGGTTTGCCGTTTCACTCAAACCAAGTCACAAATAAATATACTTCATAATTTAATAATATTTGTCGCAGAGTCCTCATGGAAGAATAATAAAATGCTCTCGAATGCTCATTTAGTGCTTTTCTCTTCTTTTTCTTCTTTCTCTAGCTTTTTCTCAGCCTCGATATCTAGTTGACAAAAACCACGGTCGTCACTTATTGTGACTCATAAAACGTGAACCTGACAGTTTCCCGTTGCGTTAACTTACCTGCTTGCGTTGGAATGTACCGCTTCTCATGAGTTTCAACATGCTTGAGGTGCTCCTTGACTTTCTCGGCGTTAACCTTAATGTCATCGGCTACAGGGTTGCTCTTTTGATTTTCCATATTGCGAATAACAATACGTTCTACAAGAGAATAAAAGTTAACCGTCGCTGCAACGTTCATCCATATAGTAGAATGTTAAAAGTTTAATTTGCATACCTTAATATAAAGTTTTATCGAAAGAATTTAAGGATAGAAAGTCTGTTTGCAGAAGGTATAAAAGTCCTTTGTATGTAGGAGTGCTGCCGCTAACAGTATTAGAATGCGTCTCACAAACTGCAAGTCGCACGAACCCCGAGTATCATCACCTGTTTGAGAATGGGGATGGTACACTGCATAAATTCCTAGAAATTACCACGATTACCCCAAGTTTTAGAATATTCTTTAGAGTAAATAAACAACTTCTTGTCTCTCACATTTCGCACCTACTAACCGGAAATGTCAATCAAGCTTTCTCTCCCAAGACTTCGATCCAGTTTTGACATTCCCCGACTGCAAGCCAAGCGAAACATTTTGAATTTAATAAATCTGTAAATGGAAAGAATTTGGGGGATTTTTTCAAAACAAACAAAGTGAACAGGCGCACAAGAATTTCAGGGGGATTAAAGGGTCAGGTGATATAAAGTTCTAAATTTTAAAAAAAAAAGGGTCAGGTGATTCAGCAGTTCATCTTTATTTCTAAATTTTAAAGGGTCAGGTGATTCAGCAGTTCATCTTTATTTCTAAATTTTAAAGGGTCAGGTGATTTATGTTAATGAAGTGTTTAGCAACTATTAATACAAGATCAAATGTCGAAGCATGTGATATTTTACACGAAAAACATTAAAGCATGAGACATTTAACATGCTTCTATTACATCAAGTTTGTTCCCACATTAATCGAAATAATGTATTTTATGTGGTAAAGCTCCGATAAAATTTCCAAAACTGCCGTCGATATTTCTTCTTTTGGGTTGCGATCGCACAACCTGAATCTCTATTTAACGTACCCGCAACCTTTCCGCCGATGTTTCTAGCCTGGCCGTATAATTAATCCAACCGCCTACATGAAAGAATTTCTTTTCACTGTAGCCAGTTATAATCTCCGGTTTGACAATGTGCACGCTCATTTATTAACACCTATAAGGGCGACATGTGAGAAATTAAATAATTATAACACGTGCCAAGGCGTGTTGTTATTACGCGTTCTCGTCGTGCATAAGGTGATTGCTGCGATGAGAATTAATCGAGTGCGTCTAATAAAATTACTCAATAAGTCAACTAACAAATTTTATTAATAGTCAGTAGTAATATATTTTCACTCAACAAATTTGAAACGACGTTCTCCTTGAGCTCATAATATTAACTACAACGTGGTAATGGCGTCTAGGATACTCTTCTACTCCTCCATCAAAAGTAGCCCGATTTGTTTGGACATCCATTGTAGGAACAAGTTATATTAACAATTCAAACAATCACAAGTATTCACTATCAATCAAAACGCGCGAGAATAGATAACTCCATGTTGTTAAGAACGAAAGACTTACAATATCAAACGGCTATAATAAATAAATGGTATTATTTATATTAATTTATTTCAACAGGTTGGCCGCAGACTTATGCAGGCTGACTATGTGTAGAGTTAACTGACAGCGAAGTTGATATCAATAACTTGACATCAATGCATGAATATCGAACATCGAACATTGATGCTAAAATGGAAACACGTGTCAATTAGGCTGGACCTTTAAAATTACATAGTCTACCAAACCGAATTGAGACACTGTTTTTGACGTCAAATAAATTTGCGATGACGTCACGCGACTTGCATTTTATCCACAATCTCATGCATCTACACCTTGATAAACTCTCAAGATGCCACGCCCGTTACGTACTCGTAAGCGTACAGTACTGGGTGAGAGAACGGATAATGATAATCATGTAAACGTTAAACAAGGCGCGTATGGAAGAGACAGCACAAATACCGAACTAGTAAAAGATGCGGCCACTCATATCGAATTATCCTCAAAGAAACTTTCAAACAAAACATCGCCCGCTACTGACAAATCCACTTTATGTATAGAAGATGTTGACGTTTTGTCTAATAACATATCAGATACGACTGTAGAAATCAAAGGGACCGAGATAACAACACCAAATTATCTAACACAACGTGACGGTTCCCAAAAACCTTCATCAGATAGACACCAACAGAAATTGATCAATTCTCATAATTCAAAAAAGCAACTGTCGCATGATAGTTCATGTTCAGATCATGATTCAGACGATCCCTTTGGTTTTGCAAAAGCAGAAAGAAAAGCTAAGAGATGTAACAATTATGGCAAAGCGAAATCAAATGATCATACTACGGGCAACGAGGATGTGGAGGATGAGATTATCATGGTAAAGAGCTCTGAATCTTTATCTCAAAAAAGTAATAATTCTAAATCCAAAGAGAGCACAGCTTGTCAGCAGACATGCCAAACAGACACCGGTGAAGATCTGCGTATCCAGAAAAGCAATGACTTGGAAGTATCAGCTAAAACGTCTTCAGTAGAAGACGTGATCCATGTCCATTCGCCCGAATCAATTCAGCATGAGCTTTTTCCACCGGACAACCACCAACCGTCTGATGAAATAGTATTAAATGCCACCGTGAAAAGCGAGCACCAGCAGAAGGTGAAACCCATTGCCAAGAAAAGTCAACCATCCCGGACGCGGCGTAAAAGAAATAATGGTGGTGACAAAGATGAATTGAATACAGACGCGCAACTTGATACAAAGCAAAAGAGACGAGCTTACAAGGGACGGAACACTAATAATAGCAAAAAACCAAAGTTGAACCAAACCCGACCGGAAACAAGCGAACCTGAACAAATTGAGGTGTATTCTAATGATGAGCAAGAACCAGAGTTGGAAAGTGAGGTAAATAAATATATTTTCTTTGAAGCAGATATATATATGCGGCATGGGAGTGTCATTATTTACGGACTTCAATTATTTGACAGAAACTGCGTCAGGATCTCGAACGACGGATTCAACATTTCGAAGAAGTTGACAAGTTTGTTTTACAAGTTGATAGAGTCACGACAATCGATGAAACGGATGAAATTGATCAAAGTTCTTCAATTTCTCACATTCTGCTTATCGAATAACATTAGTAGATTTTCTTCTTTCATATCACTCTTATTTCTTGATCGATTGCACAGCAAGTTAGGCGCGTTGTAAGAGGCTTTTTATTAAACGCATCAAACGAATTAAATATTACTATTAATTGTGGAGACATGGGTCAATATGTTGCAAACACTGAAAAAGAGTGACGGGAGGTGTTTTTCATTATAATACGAACCATGGAAGAGAATCAGGTTCCTGATACGTTAATTGGTAAAGTTTAATTTATGATGGAAGGATTTCTGAACGTCATCAGTAGTTTCATCATTTGTATGCTTTGTCATGAAACGAATCATGTATTTTAAGCATCAAATTATGCTCCGCGCGTAAGTTTTTCTTCTATCTCGTTTAATTACGGGATGATGCTTAAGCATTATGTGAAGGCGGCCTCGGTATTTAAAATCTGAAAATAGGAACTAGAGAATTTGGTGATGGCGAAAATGGAAAGTATTTCGACATTTGAAAGTAATTGAAACAAATACATTACATTTTCGTTCGTGTGAA